GGTTGTTGCACCCCAGTGGCCTTCAAAGCACGATACCTTTGGGTTTCCATCGTGGTGACCCAATGAACACCTCTTTGCACACACTCACACACACATCCCCTTCCTGCTCAGCCCCATGGCTGCATCCCACCTCCCCCCAGGCATGGGCTGGGGTCTGTGGGTGACACCCCTGGGACACGTTGCCACCACCATCACCTCTCTGGGTGATCCCCAGCATTTCCGAACCTCTTATCTGCCTCGGTTGATTCTTTCATTGGCAAAGCTCCCGGTGCCATAAATGTTAGCACCCTAGCACCTCCCCCTGTAAAAATACACTCCCTTATCTCTCCCCATTGCCATATTCCAGTCTATCACCTGTGTGTGTTATCAGCCCGTCCCATAGCTATCACTGCACTATCACTATGCACATCGCAGAGGCCCGATGCGATGCCCCAGCGCCCCGTTCCTCCTTGCTCCCTGTGTGTAGGATATCCCTGCCTTTCCTATTGGCTTTCCCTCCTGGTCTCAGCCCTCTCCCAGCACAAGCAGCGTGCTGCAGCTCATCAGCTTTAATTGCAGCAAGAGAGAGAGTATGATAGGACAAGGGGGAATGGTTTAAAACTGAGACAGGGGAGGTTTAGGTTGGATATTAGTAGGAAGTTTTTCATGCAGAGGGTGGTGAGGAACTGGAACAGGCTGCCCAAGGAGGCTGTGGATGCCCCATCCCTGCAGGCATTCAAGGCCAGGCTGGATGTGGCTCTGGGCAGCCTGGTCTGCTGGTTGGAGACCCTGCACACAGCAGGGGGGTTGAAATGAGATGATCATTGTTGTCTTTTTCGACCCAGGCCATTCTATGATTCTATGAAGAGAAACACTGAGAGAATCCATCTTGCATCACTGACACTCGGAACTGCTGAAGTTGAAGCAAAAGAAAGCACCTCGGATCCTTTTTATCCTCTGCTCCTGCAATTTCTGCATGTCCAAACAGATTTTGGAGCCTGTTTATAACTGGTAACTTTGTTTGCTCCCGGGCTGGGACCTGAAATGCCAAGTTTCATCTCTAAGTCAGTTTTTATGGCTGAGTCGCATTAACTCCTGGGAGCAGGGGGAAAAAAAAAAAAAGGAAAAGAAAAAAAAAAGGAAATATTACATAAAGATATAAGAGAAAGTTGAGGTTGTTAAAAAAGGCCAATCTGTGGTCTTGGGGACACCTGCCTGCTTGCACTGATGGATGCAGAGCTTTTGATCCAGGGCCGAAAATCCACTTCTGTGGATTCTAACCCAAGGAATTACCGTAACTGGGACATTTCATGCTCCTCTCTCATCAAGCTCTTTAGAGCAAATTAAATTTCTCCCTAACCAGCCTGTAACAGTTTGTGTTAGATGTGGATCTAAATGTTAATTGCAGTGACAATAACAGGTCTGATCCTGCAGTCCTTATTTGGGTAAAACCTCCCACAGAAGCCAAAGGAATTTTGCCCCAGAGAAGACAGCTGGATGCAGTCCCACATTTCCCGTCTCCTGAAGATGCCAGAAGGTAGCGAGAATATTTCTGTGATGTTACAAACCTCCTTTTTCCCCCACCCACCTCCCCTCAGTTCTTTAATTCGCCATTAATCTAACGAGCTCTGCTTGGCTTTAGCTGAGCACTTGCTTGCAGAGAGCCGAAGCCATGGAGGGGAGCTGGGTGAAGTTGGTTTGTAGCTCTGCTGGATGTAAGGGCACCTGGAGGTCCTCCACCATGCTGCAGAGCCGTATGGGAAGCCTTTGTGTGGTCCCCATTCCCTCTGCTCTTGGGTAATGCAAAAATGTGAGCCATGAAGGAGGGCAGCTAAATATGATGGGATGATTTGGGGTCTCCTAGCTGGGTTTGGCAAAAAGACACCCCATATTCAGGTGGCATATGCAGTCAGGTAGGCCATTCTCCCTCCATCCCCACACTCTCACACTGCTGTCCCCACAGAGCCTGGAAAAGGGTGCAGTCCATCCCCATCCAGACCCATCCTCAGCAACCCAAACAGCTACAGAAGGTGGGTCCCTGCTCCGAGCACACACAAACCAGCAGATACTCAGAGGCACAAAGCATTTCTTCAGCGCTGGAGATTCAAATCCCCTACTTTGTTTGGTGTTGTTTTGTTGTTGTTGTTGTTGTTTTTTCCCCAGCAGCATTTAACAAGCTGATGATGTTTGTTTATGAAGTGAAATGCACATGATTTATTTGATCTGCTGGAGCTGGAGAGCTGCATTCCCACGCCAGGGACGGGCAGAGACGCTGCCTTCATCCCCTCTGTTGGAAGCTGCTCAGATGAAGTACTGTACAGTCAGAGGCACTGTGCTGTGCTTTCAGCTGCTTCAGAGCAGGGCATTAAATGCTTATTAGAGACCTCCCAACTTCCCAGCCATAAAGTTGCACTTGTTCTTGTCTGTCTCTGCACGTGGAGACGGCCTTAACGATGTGTTCCTGCAGCTCACACAGGTCTGGGGAAGTCTTGGGGCACCTGGGCTGTAGTCTGGATGTGGCTTGAATGATGGGAGGGAGGTTCTTCTTGTGCTTTGCTGGCCGGTTGGGTTGAACACATTTTACCTGGTTTGCAGGGACCGTGGTTTAATTAATTGCTTTGCAAGAAAGCTCTGTAGAGGGAATGTCTGGTTCTGCCTTTTACAACACCTGGAGATGTACTTCATCTCATCACCCAGACCAGAGCCTGGCTGCCAAGGAAGCTAAGGAAATCATCCATTAACTGATGGAAGACGAAGTGCAGAACGTGAACTATGAGACTTACAGCTCCTTGGGGAGAGTGCGTGGAGCATCACCCATCCTGCAGGTGGGACAGGAGCCAGATCCTCACCTGCTGTGAGCCAGCAGCACGTGGCCCAGGGCTGGGCACCAGCTAAGGTGTCCCCTGCTTCACCTGGGGCTGCAATAGGGCTGTGCCGACTGTGAGCAACCTCACCACAAAGCCTTACACCAGAGCTTGAGGAGGTGTCACTACCAGGGCTTTCTCCCCATCCTTGCATATAAAACACTTTGCAAATGAAGTGTGAAGATAATATGCTTTATCATAGGCATTTATTACTGGTGATTGTTGAATAAATCTCCCTCCATTCACATACCTATACATAAGGTGTGTATAAATATGCAGCCAGTATCCGGCCCAGAGCCTTTATGACGATGTCAATGTAGCCCCCATAAAGATAGTGGGAAATGATTCATAATATTTATATGACAGACACGATATGAACTGTAATAGCCTGTTGGGATCGAGAATATCCATAGGTCTCTGTCAGCCACAAATGTGATTTAAATATTATATATGTGGCAACTGTAGCATTAGGAATATGATAGCTGTTATTGATAGTGGTCATAAAACGCAGTAGTTTTGCGCTGAAGAATGTGAAAAATAATCTAGTGGTTTTCCTAATGGTCTCCCCAGCAATGCACAGAAGGAACTGTACTTTCAGTGCTTCTTTCAGTCCCCCTTCCCCCCCCCCCCAAGCCAAACTGCCATTGGATTCTATCAGATTACTGCTGGGGCCATGCTTCGTTCTGCTGATGTCAGCTTGCGGGTCTGTCTGTTGGGCTGGGGGGGTTCTGCTGGGCTGTGGGATCACGGTTTGCTCCTCTGCATGGAACAGAGCTCAGTGCTGCCATGCTGGCTGTGAAGGGAAGACTTTGTCCAGCGACTGCACAAGGTTGTTCCCTCCTTTGCAATGGCAAAGGGTCATCAGTGAGTATGAGTTTGCACAGCCCCATAGCAGAGCTGATACCATCAACCCTCACCTTCTCACTGTCTGAGCATCACACAGATGCACAGCAGGTGGGTTTCACACTGCAGCAGTGCTCCTCAGGGCACAGCAGTGGTTGGGAGCTCAGGGACCCCCACTGTGAGGGACCAGCACCCAAGCAGTGACAACCAAAGGTCCTCATCCCTCCTCACCATCAGACTGCCTTCCTCTCCCAACTCCATCCTGTTCTTTCCTGAGAGCAAACAGAAGGGGAAAATCACTCCACTACACACTCATTAGTTACAACAGCCCCTATTTTTTCTCCCTTAGCACAAGCAAGAGAGAATGCAGCTTGCCCAGGTGGATGCAGCATCACGGTTTTGCTTTGGTGAGTCTCCAAGGTTAACCAACACCAACATTGCACTGGTGAGGTGCAGCCTCTGGGACAGCTATCAGGATGCCTGCTCCATCCCTTCACATCACAGAGAGTAAATCCAGGCAACAAAGCATCCTCAAACAGCAACAGAACGGTGGTGGGGCTGAGGAAGAGAGAAGGGTGAGGGCAATAAATGGGTCAGTTCCCATGGACACCCAGCAGAGCTACGCATCGCTTCTCAACGACCTTCTGTGGGTTTCCAAAATGCAACAGAGTGCATTTTATAGAAGAAAGCAAAAGTGCATTGCAAAGTGAGGGTCTGGGTGTAATGTGGCAGCAGTTTTCTACACCATTTGCATTGCAAACGAGCTGATCTTCCTCTTCCTCACCCTGGCGGGAGGCAGGCGTTGCTCCAGGGAGAGTTGTTGGTCCATTTCTGCCATCGTTTGCACTGACATAAATCAGGAATTTACTCAGTTGAAATAAGTGGGGCTGCACCAGTATAAAACCAGTGTGAGATCAGAATTACAGTGCTATAAAAGCAGCATGAGATTAGAATCAGCCTGAGTATATTGCAGCGATGGTTGGAGGAAAGCCTAGGGAAATTACCAATATTGGAATTGGAAAAAGGAAAGAAAAAAATGGCATATGATTTCCTGATGATTTGGGAAATCAAATCCTCAAGGCCAGCACTTGTGTTCCTCCCTCCCACCGCAGTGCCAGCACTGGTGAGAGCTGTGCCAGAGCAGTGATTCTCTATTATCCCTCTTCTGGATGAAGCAGCTGGGAGATGCGTTATAAGAAGACGCCGTATAAAAATAAATGGAATTGAATTAGGGAAACAACTGAAGTCGTTTCTTCTCCATCCTCACATCAATCCATTTAGGCTGATTCTTTGGGTGCTCCAAGGGGATTTGCGTTACAGTGCTGTCAGCATCCACAGTCCGGTCCTCTCCTCCCAAATGAGCCTTGGCACTCCTCATGCAATGGCTCTTCATTACCCCCCTCCAAATGGGGCCCTTTGCTGGGTCCTGCACCCCCAGCACGTTGCGTTGAGCGGTGCTTTGTAACGAGCAGCAATCTCCTAAATGAGATTTTGGGGGACGTGGAATCAGGGAAGGGAAAACAAATGCCGTCTTTTAAATGAAATAACGACGCGTAAGCCCTGGGATGTAATGAGAAGCACATCAGTGGCAATTTGATTTGTTAATGGAGCCTGTGCGTTGATACGCAGCGGTGAGAGCGCTCGGAGCAATGCTGGTGCAGGCTGGGACAGCATCCCATCCCCATGTGGATCTGCTACCCTCGAACTGTGCTTGGTGTCTGTGGGAGGATGCACGGCAGCGAGGCCATTGCATTGCATTGCACTGAAGTAGGTCAGGCTGCTGCTCCCGGCCGTGCCATCCCTGTGCCCCCCAGCCATGGATGGCAACAGACAGCTTGGGAACCGAGGGGACCTGGTGGAGCACACGTCGACAGAGCTGTGGTGTGGAGATGCCTCATGTTGCTGCACAGCGTGTCCCGGTGCTGCTCGGAGAATCAGAGAATCATTAAGGCTGGAAAAGCCCTCTCAGATCCACAACCCTCTCCATTGTGTCCACCAACCACCTCCCTCAGTGCCACATCACTGCAGTTCTGGAGCTCCAGCCCTCGCTGCTCCAATAGTTTTCCATGATCCCAGGAAAACCAGCATTGCTACATAAGGCACAGGCAGTTTGCCCCTTGGCTGGCGAGCAGCACAGGTAACATTTTCCCTTGGCTCTTCGGGAACATCTGGTTTTAATGCTGCTCGAAGCAGTTTTGGATAACGCCGTAGCGTGCAGTTAATCTATTCCCCATGTTCTAGGAAATATTATCATCTTAAAGGCAATTTAAGAAATTACAGAAATACAGACATTACTAAGTATAAATCCAGAGGTAACACCATCCTGCCTGACAGGAGATCCACCAGCACTCCTTGCTTCATCTGTAATGCCTCTGTCCCTGTTAGGATGATGTTTGATCCCCAGTTCTCCCCACCTTGCACCATCCCTGGTGCTGCAGGAGCTCCAGCTTCGCACTGGGCTTTCAGGAACATGGCAGAGTTTACATGGAGGAAGGATGCTGTGCAGCTCTTCTCTCGTTATCTCTGCTGGTGAAGTTTTGCAGTTGGTACAGAACATGGTAAAGCAATAAGCAGGCCAGCTGTACTTCCCTTGATCGCTTTTTCTCACGGATCAATAGTTCCAGAGGTTCTTGCCAGACAAACCCTCCCTAAGTGTATCTTGGCTCAGAGCTGAGGACTGGCTCGTGTTCAATGTCTCAGCAGGCGACGAAACTGAAGTTGGTTTAGATGTGGTCCTGGGCTTTGTACGGCTCCCAAGTGGTTCTGATTGAAAAATTAGTTTTGGCATTCACAGTGTGTGATCGTTCCTTAATGCAGCCCAAATGCCTCTGCTGTGCAGGCAGCAGCCCAGTGCCAGCCCTTAGGGTGTGCATTGCCCAATCACTCACAGCCCTGTGGGATCCCCCCATCCCACATCACTCCCTGCTTTAGTCAGCAGAATTCTGGTGCTCCGTCCTCTCCATCATGTGCTGCAGCTTCAGCAGAAGACAGCATTAAAAGGAGCTGCTGTGAAAGCCCTTTGGAAGCCTGATGGGAGCAGAGAAGGGAACCCACCATGCACAGAATCCACCCATGAGCACAGCAAACCCTTTGGCAGCCCCTGCTTACGCCACGGGTACCAGCCCACGCTGATGGCCCTCCAAAGCCAACACCCATTCATTCCATTTTCAGCCTTCACAAAGCTTTTGCATTGCCAAACTGGTGCAGTGGGAGATGCTGGGCTCACTGCAAAAGTGAAATAGCAAATAAAACATTGTACAAATAACAATGCTGTTTGTGAGCTGCACTACGTGAGCGCCGGTGTTGTGATTATTGGTTCATTACAGGCCTCTCTCCTGCTAAATCTTTTCTGTTATTAAGGCTGGCTCAATGGGGTCCTGATCCCTGGTTGAAACATCAATATTACTAATAAATAGAAATAACAAGTGAGGTAAAGGGCCAGACAAGAATGACCTGCTTTATGAATTAATGTAGTGAAGTCTGGCTATTTTCCTATAGCTTTTATATACTACAGGCACACATACAAACTCCATACGCATTTATTGGATGTTGGTGTGTGGAAATTAAGCCAGAGCAGTGCTATAACCTAATTACTGACTTGCTACAAGGTGCCAGGGAAAAGCAGAGAGCAGACATTGCATCCACCCCTGCAACGCACAAAAACGCCCTCCAGTTCTCATGGGGATGAAATCATCTCTTCCAGCCCTCCTCCCAAATCCCCTCCTGGCCCCAAAGTGTGGAGCAGTGCATGAGGTGCACAGCCTGCGAGGCTGTCAGCTGCATCTGCAGCACGTGGGTGGGATGTGGGTTCGATGGCATGGAGGGAGGTTAGGGGCAGGTGGGCAATTTGACCCATAGAGATTCATGCAAGCATGCATGCTTGTTGCTGCGTACAGCTCTATATGTTTGTCTCTCTACATGTGCATATACACATAAATACACACAAAGGGACTGCATGCATTTCTCTGTCCATCCATAATTCCATCCTGTGATTCTTGCACGCTGGGTGATCCTTATCAGGAGGTGTGAAGCAGCGTGGCCACGCTTGGCTGTGCTCTGTGATGCCGTGGTCACCGAGCAGTGCACACCAGGGCTGCTCCTCAGCCCGTCCTGATGGCAGGTGGGGCCTCACCCCTTCTCCCAGTCGGAGGCACCACCTTGCCTCCATTATTTATAAGCTATTCAAAATTTATCGCTGCCAACAAACTCCGGCTGCAGAAGGGTTTTAAATCCTTGTTAAGTATTTAAGTGGAAATATCCGTGTGAAGGAAGCGGGTGGTGGAGATGGGGCAGCCAGGTGCCCCTGTGCACCGCTGCCAACCCCCCCCGTGCATTGGGGGGTGCACTGGGCTCGTGAACACGATGGGGTTTGTTTTATTTTTTTCATCCCCACCCTTTTTCCTTTTATTTTTTTGCCTTTTTTTTCCCCCTTCCCCACTGCTGTTTCA